TGCTTTACCTTGGCAATTTAAATTCTTGTTTGCTTTCCAGTACTGCTCATCCATCACTGGCTTTTTCATGTTTAATTGTCTTCCATTTGACTTCTACTCACACTTCTTATGGTGCTGATGGTGGTGCCCTTTATTCTCTCACCTGACATCGTCATCATTTTTGCAACTGTGGAGCATTTTGCCTGCAGAGGACACAAGGTCCCACGGAGCACCCCTTGCTAAAACAGGTACTTCACAGTTGCGTGGAATAAGGACAAACAACAGACAACATCTCCATCAGCATTTCAAATGCTGGCCCTCAGACTTTAATTCAAACTCTTAGAGAACTGACTCTGTCAACTAACAAAATCCCACTTCAGTAGTACACTAAAACAGTCTGCTCAGGTGAAACAGTATGGGCTTGAGATTTGAGGAACTGTCAAAAGGAGCGATAGCTTGTTGTTATTGGAGCAGGAAGAGCGTTTGAAAACACGATTGAGGCATTGAAGGGGATACAGACGTAACAGAGGTCTGGCATAGATCTGCATGAGCATGCAACTGGATCCCCTTCTTATTTTGTGGTTTCCAGAGCATGTTCCACCAATGAATGTGTATGGATGAAGCATACACGGTTTGAAATATAAGCCTGGGATTTGCAGTGAGAGGCATTGAAGAAGAACCACATTTTGAAAATTCGGTAAAGAGGGGTTAGTTTCACTGAAACATGTCAGGAATAAGGCTACAGGTAATAACTTTGTGTGTGTGGGTGTGTGTGTGTATACATGAGTGCATGTGTGTGCTCATGTAGTAAGTTGTATTTGACAGGAATTGGCTGAGGAACTCTTTTCTCCAAATCATCTCAAGTATAGTTTCTGTTTGATTAGATAGGGATTCCCTTACTGTTCTTCATTTTAAAAGTAGCTGAACAAGAAGTACAAATTAATCAAACATTCTTTGTAAAGAGAATGTATCCTTTATACAATGTAAACTTTTCCCTTTAGTTAGGTGTTTCCAGATAGAGAAGCAGTTAAAGGCCTATGTATTGGTTAATCTTCTCAACTTCTTTTTTTATAATTTTTATTTTTGAGATTATAATATAATCACATTTCCACCTTCATCTTCTTTCCTACAAACACTCCCATATAACTCTCTTTCCTCCTTTTCAAATGCATGGCCTCTTCTTTCATTAATTATTATAATATGTATGTACATGTAAATACCTATGCATTCCCAAATATAACCCACTTAGTCTGCATAATATTATTACTATGTATGCCTGAAGGCCAGCAGAGTGCACCAGATCTCATTACAGATGGTTGTGAGCCACCATGTGGTTGCTGGGAATTGAACTCAGGACATCTGGAAGAGCAGTCAGTGCTCTTAACCTCTGAGCCATCTCTCCAGCCCAACTACTATGTATGATTTCAGGACTGACCATTTGGTATTGAATAACCAACCAGTTGGTGTGCTCCTAGCTGGGGAAGACTATTTCTCCCATCTTTAGTGTTCTTTAGGTGCCTGTAGTTATTTTGTGTATGTTTGAAGCCTTGTGGGTTTTTCCTCACCCACTATGGCATGTCTATTAGTGTTGTCCTTGTTCAGCTCATGGTTAAGCAGTCATGTTGGTAAGTATTACTAGAAGACATAATATCTAAGCAGCTCCAATCTCCTGACTCTTACAATATTCCTGCCCTCTCTTATGCAACGTTCCCTGATCCTTTGGTGTAGGTATATTTTATAGATGTATCCACTGGGACTGGGCTTCACAACTTAGAATTCTGATTGGTTGTAGTTTTGTATAGTAGTACTCTCTCAGTTTTAAAGAGAAGTTCCCTTAACGAGGGGTGACAACTACACTTATCTGTAGCATAAGGACAAGAATTTATAGATTGTTGTTAGGGATTATGCTGCTTTAGTAAAATAGTGGTTGGAGGATCTCCTTCAGTAACCATGATCTCATGGTACCAGGCATGGTCTTCCTCTTGTTGAACAGGTCTTAAGTCCAATTAGAGAACTGCTGGTTACTGCTAAGGTATATGTGCCACTACTGCACACATACAATTATTGTTACATGCTGGTTGTTTATGCTTCATAGCATCATAGTTTGGCAGGACCTTCTGTTACCATAAAAGCTGGTCCTAAAGGAGGAATTCTTTAGATCAGTTCCGGCTCAAGGATGCCCAGTGTCTGAAGTGCAAGGTGTCTTCAGCAATAGAGACTTACTTTCCACCCCTGATGGGACAGTCAAGGGCTCTAACAATAGGCCGAGTGTTTGGGAGTCTAAGGACAGCTCTGAACAACAGCTCAAACAGGGCTTCTCATGTCTAGTTATTAGGGTTTTTGTTAGGTCATCTTTGACTCATGGAGAGAGCGTTGTCTTCTTATACAAGAAAAGTTTATTAAAGCTATGTATTTATACACAGAATTATATGTATTAAAGGTTTTTCAAGAAAGGACAGCTACAAGTGTCATTTCTTGTGACTTTCAGAGATAATTATTGTCTTCCCCCTCTTCTATGCTTACCTCCTTCCCTAAAGAGCCCCTCCATGCCCCCACCCCATCTCATTTCCCTGATATTGTCAATTTGATGGGCTTGAGAAATGCAAATTTTATGAACAAAGCACACTTCTGGGTGTCTGTGAAGGGGCTTTTGGAGACAATAGGCATGTGGGCTGTGCAGCAACTAAGTGGAGCTGGGGAGAATTCCTGAAGATGGACTTACCCAGCCCATAGTCAGGGAGGACAAGAGAAATAAAAACGGAGGATGGAGAACATCAGCTAATGTGAGCATCGTCTACTTTTGCTTCCGGGTTTTTGTGATGTGAGCAGATCCAACGGGTCCTCCCTCCCCTGGTGCACTGAGACCTTCATAACTCAGAATAGATCTTTCTTGCTCTGAGCTGATTTGCTCAGGTGTTAGGAAACAGCAACAAAACCTGATTAACCCAATCTAAACACTAGATAGAAATCAATTCACCTTAAGCTGAAATTTCTTACTATTTCATTTCATATTTTAAGCCCATATTTTCTCAAGACATAGCAATATTAGTCATTGTAAATCTGTACCTAAAAACTAGTAATTATTTAATTGCATGTCCAGCTTGCTCAGAAATATTGTTATTACACATGTAATAAGGCTCCATCTATTTCCATACTGTTTTGTAATCAATAATTAGTGAGTCTGTACTTTCTTTGTAAGGCAACATTCCAGCCAGCAATTGGAGGTTAGATAAATTTAAACTTACACAAATTGCATGTCCTGAATAGTTCATGAAGACAGACAGGTGACACATGTCCAACATTTGTTAGTGTCTTTATTCAAAAGTATGGTTACCATTTCTCCCTGTGTATACATATTTAAAATTTTTGATATCTTGAGCAAATATCACAGAGATAGATATTCCTAGACAGGTTTGGCATCATTCCATGAATTATTCTTTATTATCTAGCTATGTCTGTGAGCATCCTAGGTTTGTACCTCAAGATCTTTTTCACAGCACCTAGGACTGACTGGAAGTCCTCTCCTGCTAACTCTCCTAGTATTATTTTTTTTTCTCCTAGTATTATTTTCTACATAGTCTCCTGAGCTTGACTCTGGACATGCATTTCCAGCCTCTTCAGGCTTTGGCATCAGAGCTGCCTCCCTTTGACTCACTCTGTGTGCTCATCTGGTTATACATTTTACGTCCTAGCAAAGCTCTAGGACCCTGGAAAGCCATCATGTTTTTTCCTCTTCCTAATCTTCCTCCCCATGCTCCTCCTCCTTCTATTCATACAACTGATAATAAAGCTGAACACATTGTTGATTAGAGGATACAGACTAGTCATGTGGCTTATGGCTGTAAGCCCAGGTTTAAAAAAATCTGTGAACTTGAATGTTTTAGGTGGGTATGTCTTGAGCTGTTTTGACTATTTTGGTCCTTTCCTGTGTGATCACAACCAGTCTTTTATTTTACTAGATGACCACTGTTTGTGTTCTTGGTTGTAGAAGTTGAGCATGTGTTAGCTATGACAACATGTCAGTGACAGCATTGCTTATTGATGGAAGATTGGTTATCATGAAGGGTTGCTTATCATCTGGCTATTACAGTCCTGAAACTTCTGCTTGCTCCATTTCAGACTTTACAAAGTAAATGCAAGCAGAGATAGCTCCAATGAACAAATAAATATTCCTGAGGGATTGCTAGAAGGGAGACACTCTGAGAATTCCAGTAGTCCAGTCAGAGCAGAAAACAAAGTCAGTTGCTGTTGTGGGACATTGGTACACTGTGAAGATGTTTTTGCTGTGGTTGACGTAATAAAAGCTGAATGGTCAATAGCAAAGCAGGAGAGATAGGCTGGACTTCCAGGAGAGAGAGAGAACACTGGAAAGAAGGCAGAGTTGCCTGCTTGACAATGAGGAAGCAGGATGGGCAGTACAGAGTAAAGGTAACCAAGCCACATAAAAGAACATAGATTAAAAGAGATGGCTTAATTTAAGGTATAAGAACTAGTTAGGAACAAGCCAAAGCTAAGGCCAAGCTTTCATAATTAATTTGAAGCCCCTGTGTCATTTTTTGTGATGTGGTAGCCCCCAAAAAATCTGTCTACATATGGCACCCAGTGTGGAGTGCTATGTGTAAGGAGTCTTTCTCTGTCCCAGCAGCCAGTTCCCAAATAATGACACAGAGACTTCTTACTAATTATGAAAGCTCAGCCTTAGCTTAGGCTTGTTTCTATCTAACTAGTTCTTATAACTTAAATTAACCTATTCCTATTAATCCACGTGCTGCCATGTGGCTCATGGATTTTTTCCTCTCCTTCTGCATGTACTGTTTGCTCTACAACTGGCTGGTGACTTTCCATTTCTTCTTCCCAGAGCTCTCTGTCCAGATGTCCCCTGCCCCATACCTCCTACCCAGCTGTTGTCCTTTTAGCTTTAAACCAATCACAGTGTAATTACATACAGTGTAATCAAATATCTCACAACAATATTTAATGTTTGCAAATCTTTAGACGTGTCACAGTATTCCTGATTTAAAATGAGGACACAGCCCCAGACTCATGAAACGACTGCTCTAAACCCTGGATCAAGGTGCCGGAAGAGTCTAAGAAACAAAAGGCCCATGGTAAAACTGGGTTTATCCACTGTGCCCTCTAGAGAGCAAAGGTAATGGGGAAAATCAAGTGTAAAAGGAAGAGGAGAAAAGCGGCCTATAAAAGCAGCAACCGTTTCTTTGAAGTTAACAATTTGAATGGCTTAAAACAGTAAGCAAGGCCACACAAGGAACTTTTGTCTCCGTCTCCCCTGCCACAGTGAAGTTCCTGTCCTGTGGTTCCCACAGCCCAACCACAGGTTGAAAATGACTCATAGCGTTTTGCAATCATTAAAACCTATAGAAAGCAAAACAGCTACAGATAGAGATGTCTAAAGTAATATCTCACCCTGCCTCCCACCACAAAATGTGCATCCATCCATCCATCCATCCATCCGGCTTTCGGGGCGGGGTTGGGGGGACACGGAGGGGAGATGCTTCTGAGGCTTGTTTTGTCTTTTATCTGTCCAAAGATATTACCTGCCCCTCCCAGGGGCATTTCACTCTGAGAACAATTCAGTTGTCTTTAGTTGAGCTTTGTTCCTTCACCACTCGCAGCTACATTTGAAGCCGTATGGGGCTGATCAATTTTTAATATGCTGCTGTTATATTGGATTTCTTAATTTAAACAGGTTGTGAACTAAGTCTTACTTTATGGGCACTGGTCAATGATGAAATAGACATTACTTTTAAAAAGCAAAATCTCATGAGTTTATAATCGGCAGCCTGTTCTCCCAGGCCTTCATAATTCATAGCAGCAATGAGGTATGTGGTTGTAGTCTCCCAAGAAACAGCCCCCATGGTCAGTGTGATTGCTGAAGTGGAGATTTTCCACTTCCAGACATACTCACTTTTACACATTAGGGAATGGATGCTTGGTTGCATGACAGTCTCATAATAGCTCTTGATCTTTTAAATGGTCAGTGAAAATGCATGTCTATGGGGACCATGTATGACTCTGCATACATAACCAAACTACTTATCCACATCTGTTGTGTGCTGCCCATAGGTCATACTGCAGAGGAGGAACCTCATCAGTAGGATGTGCATATTTGAAGGATGCAGAGTAATTTAAATGGGACAAGTTATAATTGATAGTCACCCAGAATTGGGATGTTGGATGCCAGAGTAAGAGCATCCTTCTTAGAAAGAGCCAACAACCCATGTAATCAGTGAAGCTACGGATCTGACTCTTCCTTGTCCTGAAGGACCACAGCGGATTTCCATGGCCTTCTTCCCCAAGCTCATCATGCTATCAAGCTATCAATCCAGCACAAGTCTGGAGGGAGGGGCAAGGCTAATGTTAGGAGTTCAAATCCCTTTGATACCTAAGAGAAAGCTTTCATGGCTCTTCTAGCCAAGCCAGCAGTGACAAGGCTTTGGCCTCTGATATTGCTCACATTTCTGTCACTGCACCTTCTTATTGGTTAAGGAACAATGGTGGTAGAAGTCGAAAAGCAATTGAGGTAGACACTTCTATCAGGATGCAGATGGTGGCAAAATGTATTCTGTTGTCAAAGTGCCAGATATGTATAGTGCAACAAGGGAGTGGACTTTGTTACGTGGCATCGCGAAAATGGCAGCCTTTTATGGCTAGTGCAAACAGCTTTTGCTATCCTATTTACTCAGCCAGGTTTTTCTATTGTATCATTGTCATCTCATCTCCTTTTCATAGTGGCAGGTGTGGAAGCCAAAATTAGTCGCTCACTCCAGACCTGGCACCACTTACCAGCCGTATTTTTCCCAGCAGTGCCCATCCTCCTGAGAAAAGGAAGGACCTTTACAGAAATCTAATGCTTACAAAGTGTATCATAAAACCTTCCTTCTGAGTTCATCAGCAGAATGTATGATAATTCCATGTTGCAAAATGTCTCAAGTGTTCCATTACGAGCATCTAGACTTCTGTGGTAGCTGTTGAGATAAGCAGACTTTTCATGACAAGGCAGTGGCTTTCAGCATTCTTCCTATATTTGAATACTATCTCCTTTTCTTTTCACCCCTTCTAACTTCCTACCTAGAACACATGGTCATTAGCTCCTTCTTAGTGAATGACTAGCATGCCCCATGGGCTGGACACTGGCTTTAGAATTTCTCAGATCCTGTGAGATAGGTATATGCAAATTGAGATTTATTGGAGGGAAGTTTAGAATCCTAGTAGTTGCCTAGTCACAATTGGTTGTTGGGCCAGGATTTGATTTAAGGGCTTTCTGAGTTCAGAGCCCTGCTCTTTAATCATCAATCATATCAAATACACTCCTCTCCAGTTACAGCCCTCCTGTACCCACAGCAGCCTATAGAACACCAAGTCTGTGTCACACCCAAATTACCCTCTCTATATCTCTTGTATCCAGTTTCAAAACTGCTGCTTCCAGGAAAGGCGAGCGAGTCCCCATCTTCCCAGACACAGAGCCCTCACCGGCTTGGAGATAAAGTGGAAACGGAGGAGTTGCAGGGGCAGCAAGGCTGATGAAACAAAGAAACACAGCCTGAAGGCAGGAGGGATTCCAAGGGAAAGGAACTAAGGGCCAAGATTTACTGAGCACCTGAGTCTTTAGGAGGTGTCTGATTCCTTGGGACAGCTCCCAGGCCACAGAGCAGCTCATGGGAGAAAGGGTACGGTCCAGCAGATATGAGTAACTGACTTCCACACACCATCGCATCCCTGTGGCACAGGTTTCGGGGGTTTAATCTCTTGGGTATCTCTTCCTAGGGTTGAGGCAGTAAAACGGGAATGTATTCTCTGCCTGGTGGTTTTTTAAGGACTGAATGGGAGCATTGTGAGGGTCTCTAGGAATCGGTGAAGAAAAAGTATTTAGTAACAAATATGCAAGACACATTCAGCCTCTTTTCTTCCTTTTGACTTCTTAGGACACACCTTCTTGTCCTGGGAGCCAACCCAAACGAATGATCGGAGTAATCACCGACTGCGTGTGCCGCCAGCCCAGAGAACAGCCCAGGCTCCTTCCTGTCACACCTGGTAGAAGCACCAGCTGCTGCCCACGCTGTAGCTGGGAGGCGGCTCCAAGGTGACGCGATCGCCTCCTCCCCTTTAAGGCGGGGCTCACGGAGGGGCTGAGGAAGTCCTGCGGCCCTTGGGACTCTCTTGTCTCCTCGGCATCAGGGCTGCTTGGTGCTATCCTGAGCAGCGATTCCAGCCACCACAAGCGACAGCAACGGTGGATCCCACGCAAGTGAGGAGCGCGCGCCCGGCTGCGCTCTATTGAATTGGGGACTCAGCCTCAGACAGGTGAGGGCGGTTGCCAGTTCACCTGGCCGTGCACAAGGGTTAGGTATCAGGGTCCTGGACAGTCGGATGCTGAAGCTGGACTTCTGTCCTTTTAAAGTCCAAGTTACTGACTTCGGGGGAGGGGTCCAGGATGGGATTTAGTGGCGTTCCTAATTAGGGCTCAGGGGCTCAGGGTTCAGAGAAACATCTTGTTGTGATACAGAGGCAGACGAACTTGAGAGGGCAATCTGTCCCAGAGTTTCTCAGCATTTTAAAGGCCACACTCCCTTGAGTACAGTGGAGTTATCACCCCGGCGCTGCTAGAATCTGGGGTTTGCAGAGGTCAGTCCTTTGCTTGGGTGGGTTTGATGCACTCCGAGTTCCTGAATATGTGGAGACTCCCGTTTCAGTCCTTGCGCTGGCATTTGTTCAGTTACAGGAAGGTAAAAAGTCTTAGCTTAAGCATAGGTTACAGAACATTAAAAAACAACGCAAAGGCTAATGATTACTGTAGTGAATTTGCAAGAAGTTGTTTCCGCAGTTAGTCCCCTAACGCTGGCTGTCCGTGGCTTATGCTTTCCCTGAGTTGAGTTGTCTCTGTTAATGGATGAGCTCTTTTGCAGTATGAAGGTCCCAGCTGCATCTGCATGCTGAACCCTGTGTGCACTGGAAGCTACAAGCCCCGGGCACTTAAGGTGTTAAAGAGCTTCTCCATGAACCTTGGGCCATCAGGACACTGTTTTCTCCAGGCATATGGAATTCAGTCGCTATTTACTGTGTGGGGGTCTCTAGATGATGATACCATTAGCATTCAGGCCTTGATTGGGTCAGCAGCAATTCAATTAAACAAATATTGTACACCCTTAGGCAAGACTTCTAAAGATGACGCTGACCTTGGCTTTGGTAACACAGATGTTAAGACAAGGGGATGTGGTTTAGAATACTTGCAATTTATAGGTGGTGTTTTGAAAAGCCCAGGGCCACGTTTATGATTTACTTCAGCACTGTCACCACAGGGAAAAACTACCATACGTGGAAAAGCACAAGTCTGAGAAGAGTATGTCATCAGCCATAGTGAAAAGAATGGTGAAAACTGTCATTCAAATAAAGTTAAGAATCAATGAGGATCAATTATATAAAGGGCTATTTTAGGCACTTTTTCTTATGGCATGAAATACACATCGTGGATATTAATCCCCCATCCAGATGAGAAAAGGAGACACAGAGCAAGCCAGTAATTTGGACAAGAAGGTTGACCTAGAAATGGAACGTGGGTGCATCTGTGTGCTGCTCCGATAGTCCATGCTGTCATAAGATCAGATAATGCAGATCTGAAAGATTGACTGGAAGTTAGAATTCAGTCATGTTCATGAAATCTGCTGCCTCAGGTTAGAGCAGGCGATAGTGGATAAAGTGAGCAGTGGTTTTATTGTGATTATCTTGGTAAACTGCGACCTACCTGAGACAAGTAGATGGGTAGCTATTTTTTAAAGGGAAAATTATTATGTGACTTCTTTAGTCTGTCTTAAATGGATTAATATGTCCGAGTGGGAGCAGTTACTAAAAGTTCATATGTATACTTTCTGTGTCATACATTAACATGCTTTAACAGTCTAGCTTAATTTCTTTCCTGAGCTGGGAAGTGAATAAAGACCATCACTGTTCCCTAGAAAGGGCCTTGTGTTTGTATGTAAATCTGTCTCATATTAATAGATACATAACATTAAAATATTGCATTCATCTTTTCATTAACCCATCCCAGGAAACTCAGTCCAATGTGCAGATTGGGCAAGGAACCCTTAGGCTCCCATATCACTTTTGTGTAGAATCCATGACAAGTCTGCCAGTCATATCTCAAAGTGACCTTCTAATTAAAGTTACTATGTTCTATAAAATGAACTAAGGTAGACTCAGAATTCAGTCTCTTTCTGGTCAAGGAGCATGTTTGCTTTCTTAAAACTCTTTCTGCAATTGCTACTAATTAAACACAAAAAAATCAAAGGTATTCACATTTAAATTATTTTTGACTTATTGCCATTTAATTGATGAGAAAGAGCTTTGCCTGTATAGAAAGATCAAGGGACATATTCTGCCTGGATCATGCTTCACATGGGTTTAGTTTCTCTATTTGCAGAGAAATTGACAAGCCATTCTAAACTCCTCTTTAAGAACCTTTAAAATTGTCTGTAGGAGGTGTATGTAATCCCATGCCTGATTCAATTAAGGTGATACAGTGAAGATTGAGCTGGACAAATGATGAATTGGAGAAATTTCCAGAAAATCCAAAGGGCCCAAGTATGTCTGGACGCTGTAGCTGTCATGACTGGTGGTTTTGTGCATCCTGACAGGCGAAGAATTTAGGCACCCTCCTGAAGAAAATCAATACAAATTGGGGCATGAAAGTGAACATTTATTTAAGTGAGGATGACACAGATAAGAACTTGTGTATTTCTCCTTTTTTGGTTGCAGTCTTATTGGGAAATTTATCAGTGTTTACAGAGCAACGTTTCCTGTTCCCAGACCCGCTTTCACTCTCCTGAGACTACTTAGATTCTACCAGCTGCTGGATCATAGAGGCCTGAGGCTGAAGCTCCTGTATTCATAATGAGCGAGGGGCAATTTAGTGTCAGGAGGTCAAGCACTCCCAGACCCTTCAATAAAGAGGAGGTAGTTGGTAGGGTGGCATCAACTCCTGGGTTGTTAGAACTCTTAACACTGGTGAACAACCCAGATATGACCTCTAAGGCCTTCCAGGGATCCTGTCTATTTAGTTACCATTTACCTTTAGTTACCGTTTTAGTTACCATTTTCTGTATCTTAAAGTGACCTAGGGGACTTTATTGCTCCACTTTCCTTGCCTCTGGGAGGAGGTTTCATTGATCATAGTGCAGTGAAGATGGTGCCTTCATGAAGGTTCTGTGGGAGTCTCTGCATAACTTCAGAGGACTGGGTGGAGTTTGGTGTTGGTAGAGTTACTGAGTCTAAGCAGGGTTTTGTAGGTGAGCAGAGAGCTGCAAGAAGCCTGAATGTCTGTTGACACTTGATAATAAGGTGGACCTTAGTCAGTTTTCATATAGGCAGCATGAGCATTCCTGACATGCTCATTAGATTCATGAGCTCAGCCCCTACCTCATGGCCTGGGTATCAACAACTCTGTATCTGAGCATGGAGCTTTTTATTGAAACACCTGCCAGATGATCTCAGGCATGCTGAAGGTTGTGAACCACTATAGAACCCAGAAAATAAGCCAGGCAGAAGGTGCCTTTTGGTCAAGAGACAGAGGGGAGTTAGTAATAATGTAGATATATTACTATCATAAAACAGGTTAAGCATCTCCATTCTGAAGATCAGAAATCCAGAGGACTCCAAAATCTGACTTTTGGGTATTGGCATGATGCTTCAAGGAGAAAAGTACACACTACACAACTTTATCTTTTGCACAAAATTATGCATAACAATGTATAAGATTACCTGCATGCTAGGTGCAAATGAATACAGTGACCTTAGGTACAAAATTGATTGCAATCTCACTGTACATATGCAAATATTACAACATCTGAGAAACTATCAAATCCCAAATTCTTCAGGCCCAAAGCATTTAGAATAAGTGGTATTGGATATAGTAAACATTGGAACTTGTATTCTTTATGCGTATCACATATTTATGCCATGCCATGCACTGTGTTGCAAATGTTACCATTCAATCATAAGCCTAACCTCAAGGTGAAGCAGCATTCTCCTTGCTTTGATGCAAAGGTGGGGAAACTTAAGAAGACAGCAAAAACAGGCTTTGCCTATGTTCTCACTGAAGTATGGATGCCGCTCAGGTTGGACTCAGGAGCAGGCACCCTGGATTCAGACACAACTTTCTCCTCCGGTCTCAGAGAAAGTTTCATGGCACCACCACTTTGTGTTGACATCGAGGAAGAAATCTGGAAGGCAGGCACAAAAACCTATTTGGATGTACCCTTTAAACAGTTATTTAATTTTGTGAGCACCCTGGGTTCCCAAGATTTTCTTTAGCGGTATATTCCCTTATTGGGAGAGGGGATTTATATGACTCATTCCTACTGTAGATGTTTAAAATTTGAATGCATTAATTACTTTCTTGTCACTGTGATAAAATACTTGACAGAAGCAACTGAAGAGATGACAAATAATTTTTTGTTTGCTTGAGAGGATACAATATCATGGTAGGGAAGGCATGATGGTGGGGCTGTCAGCAGGTAGTTGCATGTATAGCATCAACAGGTAACTAGGCAGAGTAGAGTCAGTTTAACTCTTAAGATCCACCATCCCAGGCAGCAACCCACTTCTTCCAGGTAGGTACAACCTCCTAGACATTATACAACCTCCAAAAGTAGTACCACCAGCTGGAGGCCAGGTGCTCAGACACAGGAATTTATGGGGAATATTTCTCACTCAAACCCCAACAGCGGTGAATAGATATAATTGCATAATGTGGGAAATTCCTTTCCTGTAGCCATATTATGACCTAATAGTACGTATCCAGTTAATTTAATTAGAGGTGGTAGTGATTATGGAGGCTGGCTTTCTTTAGATATGCTAAGATCTGACGTGACTTTGGGCTCAGAATAGAACTAGTGGCCTCCTGCATATGAGACATGTTTTTAAATTTTAGACTCTTCTAAAACCCTCTCCCCCAACCATTGTATTCTCCCAAACCATGAATCAAAATAATTTGATGCATATAGCCACTGTGTGTTGAAAGATGTACAGAAGACCCGTGCCTTGTGCTTTCACAGCTGTAGGTCTTTTTTTATGTTCTTGAAAACAAATATTCACATTTAATCTCAAAATAGCCTCAAAGAATCAAGTAAGAATATATTCTACAGATGTAAGTATATGTGAGGAGTACAGAATAATGGTTTGCCTTTGAACATCAGGCTACTGTCTTTGCTTTTCCTCCAGCTGCAAACATTGAGTTTATGATGGATAGAGCATTTAATTTTGATAGCCTCTTCTGCTTCATCCGCACATTCCTTTTTGCATGTGGTCAC